GTTCCGGCGTTCCGGGCGCGCTAGTGGCGCCGCCCGCTGCTCGAGTTTCCTCAGTTGGTGAGCTACGGGCCAAACATTGCCAGGACTATTCGTGCCCACCCTGCTTTCTTCCGAAAGACGTTTGTCCTTCCTACGTTTACTCCTCTCTGAATCGGACTCCCTCATCCTGTGACTCTCTTTACATGTGACTTGGTTTCAAATTCCATGTGCAGGATACCCAATTCGATACGTGTCAAGATGGATTCGTCACAGCCTTATTGAGTATGGTGCCCCAAACTAGATCTATTTCTGCAGGTGAGGCTTGATTTATAGAGGATATAGGTGCTCGCTTTCTTTGATCTGAATACTATTGTTTATGCAGCTCAAAGCATGTATTTATGCCTTAAGATTTTGTGCAGTGCCTTAGCTCTGTGTGTGTGTGTGCGCGCGCCTCTTGCTAGGGGGCCTGGACAGGAAGGGAAAGGGGAGGATGCAGCTATTGTCAAGTTAGTCCTCCATTCTGTATTAAGAGAGCTGATGTTTTTGGAACCAAATATCAGACTTAAACTTTGTCCCTGTTAATTTCTATCTTCTTGCTTTTGGCCTACTTTTTAAACCTTGTTTGAGATTCTTTTGAACCTTGATTTTGTTGTCTTAACATATTAGACATTTCTCCCAAGTTTGATTTGGAAAATATGTCTCCTTCAGGTCACTAACAAAAATGTTTAAAAGGGCAATGAGCCAAGGATAGAACTCTGAGGTAACTCTGACGATGGTCCACTAATTTACGCATTGATTTAACCCAAGATTCAGTTCTCTTACCAAAAAAGATTATGAGGGTAATTAAAATGGGAAATTTAGAGATGATCTTGAGACATACAAAGACCTTTGTTTTCTGGACAAATGAAGGAGTCAAAATTTTTTTTTTTGAAATGCTTGAAAAATAAATAATGAATTATACTTTCAAACACAAACTTTAAAAAAATCTGTAGCAGTATCACAGGCAACATTGTTGACTGACACATCTGTTCCTTTCAGTTCCTCTTCGAGACTCTTAATGATCTGTAGCAGTATCACAGGCAACATTGTTGACATCTATTCCTTTCAGTTCCTCTTCGAGACTCTTAATTTCCATTTGAATTCCCTTTGGAGCTATTTGGTCATTTATGTCTCCTTGAGTTAAATTACATCTTAAATAAAGAATATTAAAATAATATTAATAGCAACAGTACAAATCACCTATAAAATATTGTATTACTCATATAAATTCTAAGAATAAGTATATTTGTCCTCAATAACTTATGCTGTCTTGAGTTGAAGTCTCATGTAAGTGAAAGGTAAATATTTAGTCAAAAGGTCAGAACACAGCATCCAAAAAGGTTGACCCTACTCTGACCTGAGAATTCCAAGGATCAGGAATTCCAGCCTCAATCTCTGATTTGCTCCTCTTACCGACTTCACCTCAGTTCACTCAGCTTCCTTCACCCTGCCTGGCAGTAAACATCTTCACCCTCAGCTCCAGTTTCTAAGGAGCAAGGGTTAGAACCCAGTCTTCAGTGACTTCTCTGTCTCACTTCACCCAAACCTATCTCACCCTGTTCTGCCTTTACCTTCCTTGAGCTTACCTTTCATGAACTATCTTGGCATGCCTGGAGGCAAGTAAAATCATTCCTTTATGTAGTTTCCACTTTATCTACCCTAGAGGACCTCATGCTTTGAAAAGGAAGACCAACTTGAAGTTTTGTGATATAAACAAAAGATAATAAAGGCCTGAATAAAGGATCGCCATAATAATGAAAAAAAGAAGTGAAATAGATAAATTACAAAGGAAGGCTTAACAAAATTGAGAGACTGGTTGCCTAAAAGGGATGAGGGAGGGAAGCAGGTAAAGGGAATTAAGAAAGTCAGTAGATGTTTGTTTAGATATGTTAAGTTGGAGATCATAAGGTTAAGGTTAAGTTGGAAGTATCAAAAGAAGTCAAGTGGAAATGTCCGGGGGACATTTGAGATTTGAGATGACCCTCCACCCCCCCCACACACACACACACACAAAGAAAAAAAGCATGAAGATGGAAACCACTACCAGTGAAATGACATATATAAAAAATACATATGTATATCCAGTTAATATAATGATCTAAGTATTGCTGTAACATTACAAAGTTATTAACAATTTATAGTAGTATTTATGAAAATAGGTATCTTGGAGCTAACTTAATTTTGGCTTTAATGTACTCGAATTGGTAAAAAGATTTCCCCATAATTAATCCCCCAGAGAGAAGACCCTCAGACCACTTTTATCCTATTTACCATCTTTAGGGGAAAAGAATTTTTTCTTCCTGGAGCAAATGTCTAAGAGCAGAACTTCTTCGCTTTTTGTTTGGCACCCTTACCCTATTGTGCTTCTTTCTTTTACAGTTGAGTCCATGGTAAGCACAAGTACTCTAATTTCCCTTGGTTTTCTCCCCACACTCTCACTTCAGTACTGTTCTACCCATACCCTTTGCAAACCCAATCTAACTGCTTTCCTGATTTGTCCGTCTAATTCCTTCAAAATACATGTACCCCTCACCCTGCATTTTGAGCACAGACTCCCAGGTGACAAGCCTAAACTCTCCTAGTTTCCCCCCAAATCTCAAGTTTCTTTATAGTATCTAGAATATATAATATACCTATTAAAATCGTTAAAAATTGTTTCAAAAATGACAATACCAAGTGTTGATGAGGATATGGAGAAAGTGGATCACTCATCTGTTGCTGGTAGGAACATAAACTGTTTTCCAGAGTAGCTGTATCCCTGTGGTGCCCTCATTCTCTGTCCATCGTTTAAAGCTGTATTGTTACACACCAGAGTGATTTTGTGGTAGACACTATAGGAAGTCCACTGGATTTTTGTATGTAGGAATAGTGGTTTCAGATAGTCACAGTATATCCTCTCAGTCTATCACATGTTCAGTGGCTTCTTGACTCAGTCTCTCTCACTGCTTTATTTTCTCATTTAATGGAACTGCCCTCAAAGGCCCTTCTTTCTAAATGCCTTCTTAAGGCAATAAGAATTTACAAGGTATTAAGGGAAGAGTAATAATCAAAAGATGTTCTTTCTCTATTTTAGTAACAAGAGTTGAAAAGGCCATTGAAAATTAAATAATATTCTAGAGAAACATGATCAGCATTTTGTGAAAGGAATAAGTGTCACATTGTGAATAAGTCTTGATAAAAGACATATGGTATTCAAATTCCTCTATGTGTAGGGCTGTCTAAGCCACATTTTCTAAGATCAAGTATGGTGTTCTGCCTGTTGTTATTTAGGTTATAGGTGCAGAGCCCCACTCAGCTACATGTGCCTGAGATTAATGCAAAAAACAGAATTTTAGAGTTTGCCCTGACCTTTGGATTTCTCCTTCAATTTTTGTAATCACTTGGAAAGAATTTGTATTTAGCTGTTGTTGAGCGGAATGTTCTATAAATTTCAGTCATAGCCTATTGGTTGATGGTGTTGTTGAGTTCTTCCATATCCTTGCTGATTTTTCTGTCTGGTTGTTCTATTGCTAAGAAAGTGGTGTTCGAGACTCCAACTATAATTTTGGATCATATGTTTCTCCTTTCAATATTATCAGTTTTTGTTTCACAACTTTTGCAACTCCTGTTTGGTGCATACACTTTTAAAATTGCAACGTCTTCTTGGTGGACCGACCCGTTTCTCATTATGTAATGTCAACTCCATTTCCTCAACTCAGAGAGTCCATCATGCTCTGACTGACTTTACACCCCCTGTGCCACAGACTGGAAACTCTTGCAAAGCCGTGTACTGGGGCAACTACACTCACCTCACTTGTTTCTCATCATTCAGGGATGACTAGTTCATTGCTTGATGACTAGTGTCTTGAAAACTGCTTGATGACTAGTGTCTTGAAAACTGCTGTTTCATGTATTTTTTTCCCAGTTTTTAAAATTTTTTGATGGAGTAGGGGTGGGAGTGGGAGTGGGAGTGTTGCTAGAGAGGGTAAAACTGGTCCCTCTTATTCCATCTTTGGCATAAGCCAAAGTTTCAATATGAGTTTTAATAGTATTGGCTGTAATGGACTCCTTCCCTGTGCTCCTATTCTCTGAATGGCAATCTAGGAAATGCAGACCTTCATAAAGCTCCTATTGAATATTACGAATAAGGAGTTAGTCCAACTTTGCATTACAGTGCAGTGATAAGGTCTGATGGACAAGGCTCTGGGTCTTTCCCTTGAGAGCCAAGTTTTATAGCTGCCCTGAGTCCTTGTTTTCTATATCTCAAATACCACTTTTGATTTAGTGAATAAAGCCTCTTCTGTGAATGTTTATTATTAACAGACTAGTGGGTAGAATAGTTTATTATTAACAGACTAGTGGGTAGAATAGTAATAGCCAAGTATTAAGGGGGAAGTGGCCAGCAGACATCATTATTAGACATCACCTCTAGAAATTATATAACCTACCCAAGTTTGAGATAGCTTTTCCCCCAGTAGATTTGAGTTGTATAAGCTGTTATGTAGGTACTGTGTGATAATCAGTTATAAGTATTGCAGGTCCCCAAATAATGTCATTTCATTCAATGTCATTTTGTTATAACATTGACAAGAAAAAAAT